CATCCATCCATCCATCCAGGTGAGCCCCAAAGAAAGAAACTTGCGGCAGGTGGGCCTGAGCGCGGGGCATGTCGGGAGTAACATGGCGGCAGGCTCGGACCGTGTTTTTGTTTCCTGACGGATTTTAAACGTTCAGAGGCAGAAAAGTGACGGCTGATGGCAGGAAAACAGGTGAGCCTGCGGCAAGGGGGCCGAGAGAGGCTGGGAGGGGCAGGGGGCCTGTACAGGGGGTGTGGGGGGCGCTGTGGCCCGTGTTTTGGGCAATGTTTTGCTGAGCGATTTAATAGTTTGTCCACGATGACTTCGCTAATCATTAACAAATTTTATACAAACATGTTGATGTTTTCTTTGTAAAGGTTAAAAAAAACTCTATAATGACAAGGGACAACACTCCTGCACCTGAACAGTCAGCATACAGGCAGATATTTACGTTACACTGGTGTAAATTATGTTCCTGTTGAACACGTGGAGGAAATTCCGTCCGTGTTTTGGTATGTTTGGCTGACGACCGTGTGTGTTGTAACCACCCATGACGGTACTAACTTCCGGAAGGACTAAACTCAAGAGAGCGAAGCCGGCGATAAAATAAGACAGGATCATGTCAGCTTCACTCCGTACAAGGAGGAAAAACGTGGAAAAGTCAGTAGAGAAAAATATTAGACTATTTAATCTACTAATTAATTATATCTAACCTTGAACCTAGTCTGACTTTTAAGATATAAATGTTCGTTGTTCAGCCTTAAGAGATTTTTAACTCAAGCCTTTTTTTTACTATTCCTGAACATTTTCCATTGCATTTAAAAATGAGTCTTCGTCACCGGTAGTCTCCTAAATTATAACACCAAGGCAAGGTGAGTAAAAAGCAACCGTTTTTTATACCAGTTTTTTTTTCTGAAAGTGAAACCACTTAGCTTGGGCTACGATTACAAAGAAAACAGAGACACCTGTTCAGGTGGTGTTTCTCCATTGTTGAGTGATGTTGTAGTTGGGAGGCCTTTATCCTAAGTGTTGGGGGGGGGGGGGGGGCTGCATGGGGGGGTCCCGACAACGCTCTACACTGAATTCGGAAACTTCTCAATTACGCTTACAATAAATTCCAAGTGGCTACAACGCATTACATGGAATTAAAACGGCGAATACGCTCTACACAAAATTCACAGATTCCTTAATAAATAAACAAACAAACAACCTTACTAATCCTTTAAAGGCCCCCGTGTCAGGTTTTAATGTTGTTGTTCACATATCCTTATTTATTTTATTTTATTTTTATTCACATGGATTTTTGAGTAGATAGAAAGCACTTGTTGTGCTTATGCGAATCCGCTGCTCATAAAACATAATACAAATGTAAACATAAAGATGACATAAGATGTAACACAAACACATTCTTAAGTTAAGGTTGAACAAAAATCACTTAAGGTATGTGAGCTGACATGCCTGCAGGGTGCTGAGTTAATGTGACATTTTTCTCATGTAATTAAGCTCACGGAATGCTGGCCAGGCAGTATCCATTAGCCAGAGAAGGTCGCCAGTCACCCACGGGTTGGTGGGGGTTGCGACAGAAAAAAAACGGCCATATATAAAAAGGTAACGATCATTCCCCCACAACCTCTGCTTGGAGAGACAGTACTCCTGACCCTGATGACAGGGTGTGGTTCTGTAGCCAGGAATAACTCTACATGTTGTACATTGTTATACACATCACTACCGTCAGACTACATGTTAGTAACATCCCCACAACACATCAGACCTTTCCTGACGGTTAGTCTTAACCCTATACAGGAAATAAGAATGCAGAAATGTCGCTAGAATGATTTTATTGCACGTGAACTTGAGTGTTTCCAGGTGTGCTGTAGGCTGATTGTTGTGTGCAGGTAACCAGGTGATGTGCGCAGGTGTCTCATGAAATATTCAGGTGACTACAGGTGGAACAATAGGGGTCAGCAGAGGTCACTCTGGATCTGAACACAGTCCCTACAGTTAGGCCTCACCAATTTAATTTGTTGTTTCTCGGATTCACCCTGTCCATTTTTTCTGATTTCAAAAAAAAAAAAAAATTGTTTAGGTTCAGAATGCTCAATGAAAGACATATTTTGGCCCCAACGGTTGAAAAAAGTCCTTTTCTTCCTAGATGTTTCAATGTAAAAATGTAACTTTGTTTAATTAAAAGTTCAAAATCTATATATATTGTTTTTATTATGAACCAGCCTGGTATGTTGACTTCATGGCTCATATCATAACATTTCTGGCTTTATGGGGAGCCTTGGCCTGTACTGTTTTTTTTTTTTTTCGCCGTCGCTTCATATTTTTTCTGAAAAAAATCTGAGAAACAACAAATCAAATTGGTGTGGCCTTACGTTGCTTTACGTCATGTACATGTGATGTCGCACATTAGTCATCAGAAATTTTACCTGCAGTTACTAAGAAAGTGTTTCTGTTGTGCCATTATATATTTATAAGGCAATGATACCAGAATTCAGGGTAAGTAAAAAAGGCCATTCTCATAGCTCAGGCACTCAAATGTTGTCATCATGCATTTATCAAATTAATAAATGCATAATGTATCATTATGTTGAAGACTATATAACTACTATATAACACTTGTATCAGTATGTTCTACTGGAGTCTGGACTGATTTAAAATGCAGGCCTTTTTGTTTTTTGCTTTACCATGTGTTTCACCTGAAGACCTCAAATTCAAAATTGTAATCTCTTTTTACTAGTACTAGTAAACATATATAGTATTAGTAGTGCTGGTTACACAATCTCATGGTCCATGGAGTATTAAATTAAATCCCGAGAGCTTAGTTAGTGTTGTTGTGGACTGTATACTGTACATGTACGAGTAAGCATGTTTACATGCAATGCAATTTGTAGTACTGTTGTACCTTTTTAAAGTTTAATCCAAATGTGTCACAGTGCACTAAATCCGAATGGGGGGGGGGCAGATTACTGTGTGTTGTGTATGTTAAGTATTTATGACAATATAATTAAAGATGTTTCTGAGAGTGTTAAGAACTGTGCAGGTGTTGAAGTCTGCCATCTCTGACTGCCTTGTCTCTTTATTACAGAGACGTTGCTGACAGGACTCTGAATCTGCAGCTCAGGACATCCATCCAGCCAGCCAGCAGTCATGGACCAGGGTGATGGGAAGGAGCCCCCCCTGGTGGGGTATGCGGGTACTGCAGGGAAGTGGAGCATGACGCCTATAGAGCGACAAGAGAGCGGAGACCGTTCCAGATCCCGGGATTCTGGTGATCGTGACAGATCGCACAATCTGGAAATGAGCACGGTCGGCGACTCGAGTGGTCCAGACAGGTCCAGAGATCACAGCCACCACAAATCATCGAAACGACGTAAAAAGAAAAAGAAGCACTCAAATTCAAAAGAAGAAAACAAGAACACTAACGGAGAAGTGAACCAAGCGTACGAAGAGACCGGCGAGAACAGAAACTTGTCCGAACGTCCCAAAGACGTTCCCGAACCGATTCGGAACCACAGAACTCCCCACGCCCTCCCGCCCATCCAGCCGGCGCAGGCTGCTAGGCAACAGTCTCCCAGGCAACAGTCTCCTAGGCAACCGTTTCCCGGGAGACAGGAAGCGGGTGAGGACGTGATTGTGCCGATTGATGCGGAGGAGCTGCACAGCAGGTGGGATGTGGCAGACGGCAGGGGCATCCTGGGATCTCTGGGGTCCATGCTGGGGCTGGGCGGAAGGGAGAACTCACCTGGTACTCACCTGGATAAGGTAACTATCTCACCTGCACACACCTGCACTCACCTGCACACACCTGCACACACCTGCATACACCTGCACACACACCTGCACACACCTGCACATACCTGCACACACCTGTACACACATGTACACACCTGCACACACCTGTACACACCTGCACACACCTGCACACACCTGTACACACCCTGTACACACCTGCACACACCTGCACACACCTGTACACACCTTCACACACCTGTACACACACCTGCACACACCTGTACACACCTGTACACACACCTGTACACACCTGTACACACACCTGTACACACCTGCACACACCTGTACACACACCTGTACACACCTGTACACACACCTGCACACACCTCACACACCTGTACACACCTGCACACACCTGTACACACACCTGCACACACCTGCACACACCTGTACACACACACCTGTACACACCCGCACACACCTGTACACACACCTGCACACACCTGTACACACCTGCACACACCTGTACACACCTGCACACACCTGTACACACCTGCACACACCTGTACACACCTGCACACACCTGTACTCACCTGTACACACCTGTACACACGCCTGTACACACCTGTACACACCTGCACACACCTGCACACACCTGCACACACCTGCACACATCTGCACACACCTGCACACACCTGTACACACACCTGTACACACCTGTACTCACCTGCACACACCTGTACACACACCTGGTACTAACCTGGATAAGGTAACTATCTCACCTGCACACACCTGCACACACCTGCACACCTGTCCACACCTGCACACACCTGCACACACCTGCACACATCTGTACACACCTGTACACACCTGCACACACCTGCACACACCTGCACACACCTGTACACACCTGTACACACCTGCACACACCTGCACACATCTGTACATTATACATACATTTGCACACCTGTATCTTAGTTAGCCACATTCTTGCAAAACACCTGTGAACCTGTTCCCCTGAGCTGCAACTTGTACAAGTGGCTCTAGTTGGGAATCAGACTTAACCTAAATCATGTTAAGAGGCATGATTGTAATGTTAACCTGTCCAGAACCTTTTGTCTGTTAGTCGTGACAATCTAGTTAGGTGAGTAACAACACCTGGGGATCGAACCCTCAACTGTTAGATCCAGGGGCACATTTGTAATGTTAACCTGTCCACAACCTTCTGTCTGTTAGTCGTGACAGTCTAGTTGGGTGAGTAACAACACCTGGGGATCGAACCCTCAACTGTTAGATCCAGGGGCACGTTTGCGATGTTTACCTGTCTACTAACAACCCCCATTGGACACTGTGATACGTGGCACTCTAGTTGGTTCCGTAGTGACAACACAATTGGGAATCGAACCCAAAATTCTGGTCCTCAGGCACATTTGCAATGTTTTACCTCACAACCAGCCCACCATAGGACACTGTGAACCATGTTCCCCTTACAAGTGGCTCCAGTTGGGTTAGTATCTTCACCTGGGAATCAAACCCTCAACCTTCTGGTTCTAAGGCACATTTTCGATGTTTGCCTGTCTACTAACTTAAAGTTAAATGTGGGAATCAAACTCTCGTGTGGTCATGTGGCGTAGCGGCAGCGTGCTCAAGTTGGAACCAAGAGGTCCTGGGTTCGAGTCCTGACATGCCACCGATCTTGTGCCCTTGGGAAAGGCACTTAACAAACTTTCCTCACTTCGCTCAGGTGAAAATCAGTATAATTGTATTGTCCCTTGTGTTGGTGGCGGCATTGATATAAGTTGAAAAAAAACCCTGTGTGCTGGCACCACATCTTGTGTTTATATGTTGGAATATATAAAAACCCCTCTCAACTCTACAGTCCAGCTGCATGTTTGTGATGTTTACCTGTCTACATGTACAACCACTAAGTCTTGTAGCAGGGTGAGTGACAACAAATGGGAATCGAACTCCCAACCATCAGATCCAGCAGCATGTTTTCCTGTCTACATGTACAACCACCTGTACAGGAGCAGGAGCTTTGTCCCAGGCTAAGCCGCCATGAAGGTCAGGGCATGTCACCCTGTCAGCTGTTCTACGCTCCGTCTCCTTCCGAAACAAAACAACTGCAGGTCCTTGCCCCAAGGGCATGTCACCCTGGCAGGTTTAGAAGTGAACTCTAACTTAAGTCTAAGACAAGCAACTCCTTAGTAATTATAAGACAGGCAACTTTCTTGAATCAGCTTTTGACAAAAGATCTTATTGTCAGTGCTTCATTTCTGTAGTTCTTTCTTAACAAAGCTCCCTGCTGCCTTACCACATGTGATAACATATTTGGTGCCTGAAGATGCAGGTTTGTGCTGTGAGGCCATTCCGTCCGAATATGTCGGTTCTTGGACTAAATTAGAATAATACCGGACTGAAAAATCAACATGAATCATGAAGGGTAATTTGGGAAAATATAATAACACAATTCTGGGAGGGAACCACTGAGTTTTGTAACCAGACCTTAAAGGCATCCGATCTGACTTAGGCAGTCTTTATGATATTGGCACAGACAACTTCACATTAGCACATTCAGCATTTCATACTTTGGGCATTTAAAACTGCACAAACAAGCCCCAAGATGAGTCCTTTATTTTCTGGGTGGTACCCTAAAAACCAGCCCAGGGCATTTTCCGTCAGAATTTTGGGTATTTTTGCTCCATGAGGGTCAATATACATTGGGACAGTGTGGTTTCAACTCAGTATGTAGGTAAATGGCTAGAATATTGCCTTTGAAAAATCGGGTTTCCAAGCCCTAAAAACTGCACTGTACAGTTGAAAACGACTTCCTTTTCATCCTAGTTGTTACAGTTATTCCATCTTTCAATGCAGTGGTATCATTAAAAGTTCAAAATTCATTGTTTAAATTTTGAACCAGCCTGGTGTGTTGACTTCATGGCTCCTATTGTACCATTTTGTGCCATAATAGGATGCCTAGGCCTGTTTTTATTTTTATTTTTTTTTCGCCCGCCCGCTCCATTATTTTTCTATAAAAATCCGTTAACCAAGAAATTAAATTGGTGTGGCCTTAAGGCTCTGTTTTTATCTTGTCGCTGACCTTTCGCGCAAAAATGTGAATCTACCGAGAAAACCGCTGGTCATGGCGTGGGGCCTGTCACGGCAAATCGCCTCATTTGGTCCAGAGGAGCAGCATAGCGGAGAGGCAAATTACACGTTACAGTTTGTTCAGCAGGTCTTAGGAAGCACTCGTGCAAACCATACGTTACATGTACTGTGAGTTTGTACAACAGATCTAAGCACTGAGGCTTGAAGGTCTGTAGGAACAGTCGGTATCAGGGCAGTTCAGGGCAGCATGACTTGTTTGGCAGCAGTGTATGTACGTAGTTTATTTTTTTGGCAAGTGTTTTGCTTCAGACCCGTGTTTTACCCCTGTGTGTGGAAGATTTAAGCACTTTGACTAACTTGAAAGCCTTAACCTGTCTAGATCTGCATGCACAGTGACTGTCTGGCAATTGTATGTGAATGACACTGTCAGTGTCACACAGTGAACAACAGAGTGACTTGAGTTAGTTGCAGGCAGCAGTGTAGTTCATATGGCCACATGCTTGTGCTCCAGACCAGGGGTGCTTTTAGGACTTGAAAGTCTGACCCGTCTGGGCCTGCTGCAAATTTCTGAGCGTATCACACTTAAGTACTGTGCATCAGTGAACAACAAACCTGTCCTGCTACATTCCAGACCAGCTACAGCAGATTTCAGCACATTGGGCTTGGAGTTAAGTTTGTGAAGTGACGGAGAGTTAATCATCACTGGAAATGGTTTGACAACATACATGTAAGGGAGGACCTCCACCACCTGAACTTGAAAGACAACATCAACCCACAGGACAGAGACAAGTGGCGGGCTGCCATCAAGCCCCAGTACCACAGTGCAAGCACGTCTAACCCTTGGAAGACGGGGAACAGCAGAGTCACAATAAACCGGACAGTGAGCAGCAACTGTCCTGTCTCTGTGAGCTGAAACAGAAACAGCATCCGGCAGACAAACTGTGGTACAGACCACCTTCGAATGGCAGACTTTGCAGCATTGGATTTCTACTAGTTTGATTTTGTCAGAAAGATTGCATGACTTGTTTGGCAGCAGTGTACAAATGTATGTACGTTTGTTTTTTTGGCAAGTGTTTTGCTTCAGACCTGTGTTTTACCCCTGTGTGTGGAAGATTTAAGCACTTTGACTAACTTGAAAGCCTTAACCTGTCTAGATCTGCATGCACAGTGACTGTCTGGCAATTGTATGTGAGTGACACTGTCACAATAGTGAACAACAGACTTGTCAGAAAGATTGGATGTTCGCTTGCCAAAGCTGCAGTTCACAGAGTAGTTTCCTCACCTACTGAGTTCAGAGAAGAATGTGACATTCTTGGAAGTGTGTGGTACGGACCAGGTTTGGACAGCAGACTTCGTGACACCCTGACATTGTTGTAGTGTGATTTTGTCAGGACGAATGAGTTAGGAATTCGAAGCAGGGATCATGATGAGATGGATCCCCAGCCCTGACTTGCCGAAATGTGAATTCGAATTCGAGGGGATTCATTCCTCAGCTAACCGACATCTCGCACACGCAGTCGTCCCTCAGTAAGGCATCTGGAGCCGCATGGTTCCCATTTAGAACTTTTATTCAGCCTGTCACACACTTTTATTCAGCCTGTCACACAACCGGTTTCGCCCGTGTGGCTTCTTCAAGTGTACAGAGGCTAAGACAACTTGCCGAAAGCCAGTTCTGGGGAAGGTTGTCACTGTACAGTAACAGTTCCTGGAACTAGTGACATTGTGAAAACTCAAAACTGTTTGCAAAGTGCACAGAAGTTGAGTTGGTGTGTTACTGCATGACTGAGGAGAAGACAGACAACTTGCCAAAAGTCAATTCTGGGGGAAGGCTGCTACTATGACAGTTCCTGGAACTAGTAACATTGTGAAAGCTCAAAACAGTTTGTAGAGTACACAGAAGAGTGCAGTGTGAAATCGAGGGG